GGAAAGAGAAGTGAGAAACCAGCCCTTTTCTTTTTGGAGTGGAATGTTAAGGATTAATTTATAGTAGATGTAGGGGTTTTTTAAAAAGGAGGAAGGATTTAAATGTAATTAAGAATCTGTTTAGATGTGATCCACGAGTCCTCTGATAAATGTTGTCTTTCTCTGCAGCATATCAATGATTCTGCTCCTGAAGTCAGGGATGCTGGATTTGAGGCATTAGGCACTGCCCTGAAAGTGGCTGGAGAGAAAGCTGTGAATCCTTTTCTAGCAGATGTAGACAAACTAAAACTTGATCGGGTGAGTTTGTAATAATAAATGTAAAAAATACTCCATTTATCTGTTTAAGATTCATCTCAGGTTAGAGGAAACAGAAGAACATGCTTGAGCTAAATGACTTTCAGCACAGTTTTTTGAAAATTAACATTTTACTTAAAAGTTACTAATGTTGCAGAGGATTTGAAAGTCTCTTTCTTGCTAGTTTATCAAGCATCTTTTCTTTGACTTCCACTACTTAAAATGCTTTAGTATGTTAACATTACACCTTTTCATTCTTATTTAAGTATCTGTTTGGCTTCAAGGCTGTATTAGCTTTGAGGCAGGTTGTGTGGTGGTGGTTGTGGGGGTTGGGTTGCTTGGTTTCTGAAAATTTTACCTGAAACAAAGTTTAGGGTTTTAGGTCACAAGCACATGGTCTATGTTACTAGACAGGTTTTGGTATTAAAGACTTGCTTTCCAACAACAAAGTTTTCAGTCTTTTGCATAAGCTAACAGGCTTGTTGATTGAATGATGATATAATTTAAGGTGATAAGAATTGGTCTTGATCTGTAAGTATCAGGGTGGAGGGGTGTGTGCTGATGCTTTCTGTGTGTATGCACTTCATTTTGAATTATTCTAGCAATAGAATGATGGCTTATGCCCTTGAGTGGTTAACATTACTACTGTAAGGAATACAGAATAGCAGAATTTTGTGAAGTAAGCAACCTAAACTCTAAATGTTTTTTTTCAAAGTAGTCAAGTTTGAGCCCCTGCTGTTGAAGGGATATACTGTACATCCAGTTGTAGCTAAATAGCTTTTTTCCTATTTTTCTCCCACTCTTTCTTTTTGTGAAGTAAGCAACCTAAACTTGTAATGTTTTTTTTCAAAGTAGTCAAGTTTGAGCCCCTGCTGTTGAAGGGATATACTGTACATCCAGTTGTAGTAGCTAAATAGCTTTTTTTCTGTTTTTCCTCCCATTCTTTCTTTGTTTTTATTTAATTTTTCTTTTCTTAACTGATTGTCAGATTAAGGAATGTGCTGAGAAGGTAGAAGTGGTTTATGGCAAAAAGACAGGAGGAGCTGCTGAGAAAAAAGAAGGCAAGGCTATTCCTGGAAAGACCCCTGCTCTTTCAGGGACTGGTGGAGATAAAGAAACAAAAGATACAGCAACCAAATCAGGACCACTGAAAAAAGCACCTGCTGTGAAGGTAAGAGTTTGCCAAGAGATTGTCTGAGTCACAATTGTCTGTGATTCAATTGCATGGAGTAATTACTTGTTCAACAGGCCACCTTTGATCTTCAATATCTCCTTCCACTGAGGAACTGCTGTCTTTCTGTAGGAGTAGGTGAGCCCAACAATAAAAAGAATCTGGGACTTTCTCAGAATGTACTTGATGATGAAATCTCAGCTCTTAATGATACAAACTGTCTTGTCACTTATGTCTTAATACATGATTTGGTACTGAAATAAGAGATGGACCATTGGAGCCATTCAGAGACACCTCAGATTTTGTAACATTCGTGTGCTCTGTGGTGGTAGAGTAATATTTTGCTGAAGTCAAGGTCTCTTGTTAAACTAGCAAAGTTACTCTTTAAGTGTTGAGTGTTCTCTCCAGTGTTGTTTTCAGTAATTACCATAACTAGAGTCATGAGCCTTTATTGCTTGAAAATGATTTGCTTTTTTAAAAATGGACCTAAGTAGCACTACAAATGGTCTCTGTAATACTTATCTTGGCTAACTTGTCCATTGTGTTTTTTTTCTAGCCTGGGGGCCCACCCAAGAAAGGCAAACCAGCTGCAGCTGCAGGTGTGGGAGGGGCTGGGGCTAAAGGCAAGAAGGGCCCTGAGACCAAAGAAGTGTTTGAGTCGGAACTCTCGGTGTGTATTCTGCTCTCCTCTGAAATCCAAAGTCTGCTGTAGGAGCACCTCCACTTCATCACTACTTACACTGCTACAGAGTTTTTCACTGCAGTTGGGTGGGGGTTTTTTTGTTAAGACAAGGGGAAGCAATTCATTTAAATGCAGCTGCAGCTGCAGGTGTGGGAGGGGCTGGGGCTAAAGGCAAGAAGGGCCCTGAGACCAAAGAAGTGTTTGAGTCGGAACTCTCGGTGTGTATTCTGCTCTCCTCTGAAATCCAAAGTCTGCTGTAGGAGCACCTCCACTTCATCACTACTTACACTGCTACAGAGTTTTTCACTGCAGTTGGGTGGGGTTAAAGGAAAGCAATTAATTTAAATGAAATTCATAACTGATAAAGTGGATGTTTGATGCATTGCAGTAAATATACCTGTTCTTCAGGCTGTTGTTGGTACCAGGCCATGTAAGACAGCAACCAGTAAATCATACTGATGTAAGGTATATCATATTGACCCTGAACAGGGAACAGATTAAAAAAGTAACAGTACTGCTAATTTATAGGTAGTTTAGGATGCATGATTTACTGAAGTTGTCTCATGAAAAGCCTGAGAATAGTGTTCTGGAGTTTACACTGAAATGTGAAGTAGAATATAGTAGTAATTAAATGCACTGATATGTGTTTATTCTGTGCTGTTCAGTCACTTTCTTGAAGTATAACTTTAATATGAATTCTACATGTTGTTTTATCATCTATTTATCTTCCTGAATAGGGAGCAAGGTAAGCTAAGCTGTATGTAGGTTAAACAATAGCAAAGATCTATTAAAGTTTAGCTAGATATATCTGCAAGTTTTTTGGACTGCTGGTTTTCTTCAGAGTGACATGTAGAATGAATACTTTCCCTTATGTATCCACTGGATGCTGTTATGCAGTGGAAAATGATTCAGAAATCACTTTCTGAAGGTGATAGAGACACCACTGAAACAAGGGAAGTTTTTAATCACTTTTCATATCTAAATAACGTTAATTCTGTGTTTTGCTAAGATGGATGCAGAAGATAAGTCTTCTCCCATCCACCCTCATCAAGCACTGATATGTTGCTCTGAATATTTATTCAGACTTCCTACAAAACTACCTTGCAAATTTTAGGTTACCCCTGCTTGATTCTTTACATAGATAGTGACTACTCAGGATTATTTTTGTCTGTCTGCACAATTTGTCATACTTTTCAGGGATTACTTTTCTGTTGCAGTACAATTTGGCAGCTTCCTAAATTCATAAGGCACCTAAACCATAATCCATGCAAAGTCTTTCGACCTAGGAGAGAAAAATTTTAACTTTGTTCTGATCTGTCTGCAGATAGAGGTATGTGAAGAGAAAGCTGCTGCTGTCCTTCCAGCTTCTTGTATCCAGCAGCTGGACAGTGGTAACTGGAAAGAGAGGCTTGCCTGCATGGAGGAATTTCAGAAGGTAAGTTTGTAGCAGCTGAGAAGAAGAGCAAGGTGCAGGTAGGGAAAATGAAAGCAATAATTTCTTCAGCTTTTTAGGCCTGGTAACTTTTAAAAGGCATAGCAGTAGTAATGATCTGCCACTACATCAGGTGGAGTAAATACTTGCAAAGGACAAATGGGTACAGTTGTGACTGAGTTTTAATGTTTTAGTGGAAAAGGTGACTAGCTTAAATTATGAAACTGACTGTCTGCACTGAAATACTGCTGCAGAAGCCAGCTTTACTCAAAGGTAGAGATACAGTTTCAGTGGAATGGATGATCTAAATGACTGTTTTCACTTGTTGTTAGGCTTAATGTAAATACTTGCAAAGGACAAATGGGTACAGTTGTGACTGAGTTTTAATGTTTTAGTGGAAAAGGTGACTAGCTTAAATTATGAAACTGACTGTCTGCACTGAAATACTGCTGCAGAAGCCAGCTTTACTCAAAGGTAGAGATACTACAATTTCAGTGGAATGGATAATCTAAATTACTGTTTTCACTTGTTGTTAGGCTTACATTCAGGCTTAATCTCTAGCTGTGTAGTCAGCATTCCAGTGTGAAAAGGTGCACAGTGTACTTCATCTTAAAAAAGAATGAATCCATTAAAACCCTCTGCAAACAAAAGCTAAAAATAACACCCAAGAAAAAAAATCAACAACAAAACCCCACAACAAATAAAACATCTCAGGTTTAATGTTGGCTCAGTACCTGTAAAATTGTCTTCTTGTAAAAGTGGTTCTTGTAGAAAAGACTTTTCAGGTAAATTCTTGTGCTGAGAATTTCTGCAACTTAGTTCAGTGTAAAGAAAAGATTTACAGAGGACATTTGAGGTAACTACTCTGTTTGGTGTTGTTTTGTATCACTTGTGACTGACTGGCTAACCTAAATATTTATCCTTTAGGCTGTTGAGCTTATGGAGAGAAGTGAAATGCCTTGCCAAGCTCTAGTAAGAATGCTTGCCAAGAAGCCTGGTTGGAAGGAAACAAATTTTCAGGTAATACATTATCCTTCAGTAACTAACAGTCAGTTTTTGGTACTTCATGTAAGCTACATTTCCAGCTACAAGGCCATAGGTGTGTATATGTCATTGATGACATCCCTGGCACCAGGACCACAGTTTTATCTGTAGTCATTGAGAATATAAACTCTGAAATCAGATTTCATTTCTGATGACAATAAGACTTCAAGACAACATTTGAAGATGTCAGTGTATGTGTGTTTAAGTCCTGCAAGTAGGTAATAGGTGTGCAGTATTATTAATTATGTACATATGCACATGGATACACAAAATGTGTTAACATTTCTATACATTCAAGTGCTTACACATACTTGTGTTTATACAAGTACATAGTTTATGTATATATTTGTGTTTACACACAAATGGATATATTTTTCATATATTTATGAATATATAGAATACAAATTTTGGACTAAAATACATGAAGACATCAGTAACATCTTTGTTGTTATGCATGTTCCAGGTGATGCAGATGAAACTGCATATAGTTGCATTAATTGCACAGAAGGGAAACTTCTCCAAAACTTCAGCACAGGTTGTGCTGGATGGTCTTGTAGACAAGGTTGGTGATGTGAAGTGTGGGAGTAATGCAAAAGAAGCCATGACAGCAATAGCAGAGGCATGCCAGCTGCCATGGACTGCAGAGCAGGTGAGTGAGCAGCAAAGGTATTCTTCTAGTAAATCAGAAATATTACACAGAGTGCTCTTACTGTTTCAGAAATAAATACTAAATCTTTTATTCTTTTATTGCCTGAAAGTAACTTGTTTGCTCTCAAGATACCTCCTAAGGCAGAAGTTAAATACAAGTTCATCCAAAAGAGGAAATGATGAGTAGTATATCAGTATCTTGCTGAAATACTGCCAAAGCAGGTGCACATCTATAATAAAGGTCTCTCTGGCTCCCTTTAAGTATTGCTGGAACTTCTGGTTCTCTTCCAGTATTCTGCTGCAGTGGCAGATTTATTTTTTCCTCCTGTGTTACTTCCAATGTTTCTGTTTGCTTATGATACCCTGTGGTTTTTGCAGGTGTCTTCACTCCTTTATTACAGTGCTTTGTCACTGGTCTGCCAGTGAAAATTTACACTTAGCCTTCTTCTCTTCCAGGTTGTGGCTATGGCTTTCTCACAAAAGAACCCTAAAAACCAGTCGGAAACTTTGAACTGGCTTTCAAATGCAATTAAAGAGTTTGGCTTTTCTGGGTATGTCTTTTGATGAAATTACTAAGAGAAAATGTTTCTGACCTAGGACTAAGAATCTGTTCTTCTGTCAGATTGGTCTGAAGAGGGTGGCTCCAAGTGCATCTGAACTCTTTTATTCCTTAAACTCTGATGCTAGCTCTCTGAAGTGCTCTTCTAGCTCTAAATGTGTAAATGAAAGTATCTGACCAGTAGAATAGGATATTAATACACTACTAGATGCTTTATTCATCACTCAGCCTTCTCTGAAGAACATTTTTCTTAAACTTTATATACTGCAGGAGACCTGGCAGTCTACAGAAAAGTACATGTGAGCATGTTTATTGCTCTCCTTGAGAGCATTTGAGGCTAATAACAGGATGAATTTTTAGGCAACAAAATAGCCATTGCTGCATTTTTGTGCTGTGAGGGTAAGAAACTGGTGATAGTATTTATTAACATTTAATCACTAGTCTCTTGACTGCAGTGTTTGAGGCTGCACAAAGGAGGCTTCTGTGACTGCCTGTTTTGTCCTGAATTCAGTGGTGCCATAGAGATTCCCCTCTTTTACTTGTAAATTGATTTTTGAAATTAATGCCTCTTCCTTGGAAGATCCTGAGACAGATGAACAAAAAAAAAACCCCTCAACTTTATTAGGTAGCCATTTTTTCAGGTGCTTAAAATGATCCTAGACTCATCCCTTAGGATTTCAATCCTAGTAATCATGTTTTAAGAAGCTTTCCAGCAGTAATAACAGCAGTCTTTGGTATAAATGACCTTATGTGTACTGTTGTGACTTCTCCTAGTGAGCTCTTGCCCAAACTGATCTCTTTCAGTAGTTATTTAAATACCTGCCATCTATGCTGTACCTGTGATATTTTACAAGTGCAAGTATCTTCTGCTTGGAAGTTGTGTGAATCTTTTCTCAGGGCTTTTTTTTTTTATAAAATTCAGCATACTATGATGATTCTTGTTGGTGCTTCCTGTGTTGCATTTCACTTATGGAGGGTATATTATTCCCACAGACTAAACGTCAAAGCCTTCATCAGTAATGTGAAGACAGCTCTTGCTGCAACTAACCCAGTGAGTAAATGAAGCATTTTAATCCTGAATTCTTATCAGTCCTTAATTTGAAGACTGAGTGCTTTTGTCCTCTCTCTGGCAGGCTGTAAGGACCTCTGCCATTACCTTGCTGGGAGTCATGTATCTTTATGTGGGGCCTCCTTTGCGGATGTTCTTTGAGGATGAGAAGCCAGCCCTTCTCTCCCAGATAGATGCAGAATTTGAAAAGGTATGAAGTGCAGCTCTCCTACTACCAAATTTCATCAAAACTACTTGGGAACTTCAGTCACTGTAATGTGTAGTAATATAATGGCCTAACCTGTGGGTTTGGAAGTGAACCAGATCTTTCAAGACTCAGGAAAGCATCTGCACACTCATTATGTCTAGCTATGTCAGTAGCTACCTGTTTTCATTATGAACTTCAAAATTTTCTGGTGTTTTTTTGAGTAGCATAATGTTTTAGAAGTCTTATCACCCTGAGACAAACACGTTCATCTCATGCAAGTTACTGTCATGTCAGATGACAAACTCTAAAATGATTGTTTCTGATTCTTGTTGCTTGCAGATGCAAGGGCAGACAGCCCCAGTCCCAACTCGTGGCATTTCCAGGCAGAGTGGGGGTGGTGGGGATGATGGTGAGGAAGAGGAACAGGAGGATGTTGCAAATGATGTTGTGGATCTCTTGCCAAGAACAGATATTGGGTAGGTTTGCATTCTACAGCCTGAAGACACACTTCCACTGCAGTTCAAAACTTTGTGTTTGTGAACACTTTCTAAGCAGAAGTCTGTGGTGTTAAAGCCTTCAACTACTAAAAGCCACATAACTAAGGAAGTGGTCTTTTTACCCTTTTTTCTTTCTCTTACAGTGATAAGATCACAGCTGAACTGGTGTCTAAAATTGGGGACAAAAACTGGAAGATCAGAAAGGAAGGCCTGGATGAAGTGACAAGCATAATAAATGATGCTAAATTTATAGAGCCAAACATAGGAGAACTTCCAGCTGCTTTGAAGAGTCGACTCAATGACTCCAATAAAATCTTGGTATGTTGTACAAAATGCTGTTTCAGCTGTTTCCAGCTTAGAACTTCAGACAAACTTCTGAACCTTGCTTATTACTTGATTTTTATGACACTGTAACAGAGCAACAGCTGGCAAACAATGAGCTGCATATTTCTAGTGACAGAAGTGTCCTTTGTTTTAAAACATTTTTAGCTGAACTTTGGTTTACTTGGAATAAAGAGATAATTCTTATCTCTCTGTGTGATGAGTTTGAAGTCTGGAATAGATTTTGCTGAGCAGGCAGGCTGAAGTAGAAGCCTAGATGTACAGCAGTGTTACTTTTCCCATATGACTTGGAATTTTATGCATGTGGTTGTAACAGTATTTTATTCAAAGCCTTTTATTTACATGCAGGTGCAACAAACACTGAGCATTCTTCAACAGCTAGCAACAGCAATGGGCCCCAATATCAAACAGCATGTGAAAAATTTGGGCATCCCTGTCATTACAGTCCTAGGAGACAGTAAGGTAGGACACTCATCAAGATCTTTCCTTTTTCCTGTTCACTATCTGAGCTATGCCTGGGGGTGACTATTGCTGTTTGCACTTGCTTTTGTAGAGGCAGATGGTAGCTAAAATGTCTTTGGAAGCTTAATATTTTTTTTTTAAAGGTTCTTGTGTAAATGGCAACTGTTATCCAAATATGAATATGTGGCTAAATATATAATCTGCTTGAGTTGTCTTCTCTTGCTTGTAAATAAACCCAGTCATTGTCATAACTCAGCTTTTAAATTAAATGTGGTGGCTGTATGCACACTTCTAATGCTGAAAATACATTAAGTTAGATGTTAATCAGGTTTGCTTTGAGTTTTGCAGTCAGGGGTTGTGTCTGTACTGATAATGTTTTGAAGAACCATGGCTGTCAAGTATTTTGTCTGACTTCTCATAACTTCACATAGCTGTTTCCAAAAAGGATGCTGTTCTAAATTTTGCCTGAGTTGGGGAACACTAAAGGTAGAAATAGGTAGGAGTTGGAGGGTTCCCTTGCTCCTGACTTGACTTTTGCTCATATGTGTCCTACATAAGAGTGGCCTAATAACAGGCTGCATAACCCACTTGCCTTGGTTTATGAATGTGCAAAGTCTATTTTAAGCATTATATAAATCACTAATCTTATTCTTTAGATTGCTTGAGTGTTAGGAGGCTCCCAGAATTCTCATCAATGAATGGTAGCAGGCATAAAGTGCTTTTAAAGATACCCTTTGTTCTTCTATTAAACTTATTTATCTGAAAATGATGGTAGATCAGTATGGTGTCTGATTTGGTGATTTCTGTGGCTGATAACCACCACTAAAACTAAATTCTTGTCAATCTAGGCTTCTCAAGCAGTGAATAAAACCAGAGATTTCAAAGCCTGTGATGTAGAAGCTTTTGCCTTTCATAGGATGAATTTATTGTGTCTTCTGCTGTCATCTTCTGACCCCTCTTTAGGATCATTCTTCTTAAATCTTGTTCTTGCTACAGAATAACGTTCGTGCTGCTGCACTGGCAACTGTCAACGCCTGGGCTGAACAAACTGGTATGAAGGAGTGGTTGGAAGGGGAAGACCTGTCTGAGGAGCTCAAAAAAGAAAATCCTTTCCTAAGACAAGAGGTAGACTTGGCTTAAATAAACTTCTCCTTGTGTGTTTCTAATTAAGATAAACATAGCCCATAGCAAATAAGGTTATCTATACAGACTGACACAATGCCACTCTTACACAAGTAAACAAGTGGCTGTCTCTTCATGCTAACATGGAATTGCTAAGCCTCAAAAGGGTAATAAAAGGCTTTTTTCCTGCATGATAGCTGTCATTCAGATTTCAGTGTCTCCCAAATGAAACTTGTGGGTTTTGATGAGCATTTGAAGAGCCTGGTGTGTTTGCTCTCAAATTAACCACATAGTAATGAAGACCAGAACTGAAGGCATTGGTGGGGGAGGCTGAAGTGCAGCTGAAATCCTGATGTTATTCTCAAAAGGAAGAAACAACTCATGCAGCCTTAAGATAATTGTGTTTTAACATACTGTATTTGATTTTAAAACTTTTTAATTGCTGACATGAAAGTTGACATTGGTTAAGAATGTTTGTCTGAGCAAAGATAGGGGTGGGTTTTTTTCCTACTTAGAGGTCTGTGAAAGACTATTAGTGTCAGGCTCTTGTGGCCTGGACAGCACAGTGAGCATTTCCTCAAAAACTTTGCTTTTAAAACTTTATTTCAGCTCCTTGGTTGGTTGGCTGAGAAGTTGCCTGTCCTCCGTTCTGTTCCTTCTGACCTAATCTTGTGTGTGCCTCACCTCTACTCCTGCCTCGAGGATCGGAACGGGGATGTGCGGAAGAAGGCACAGGATGCCCTGCCCTTCTTCATGATGCATCTGGGCTTTGAGAAGATGGCAAAAGCCACCAGCAAGCTGAAGGTATTTCTGTCACTGAGATGAGATAATGTCACCTTGAATGAGTGGATATTAACAAATCACATTCAGTCTCGTGATACGCTGTTTTGAGTCATGGAACCTTGCCTGCATTTAATATTTTCAGGAGTGCTGAAAATAGTGGCAGGAGTTAGAGGTTTCTTTGCTTCAGAAAGACTACTGCTACCACAGCTATATCCCTTCAGAAGCTTGACATTCATTCACTCTGCTTTTGTCCTGAAAAGCCTAGCTCCAGTTGGCTATAAGCCATCTTAAAGCATGTGTTCAAGGCATACAGTTGGACAGTAAATATGCAAGCTACTTGATGCATCTTCAGGACCCCTGAGTGCTGAATCACTCCATTAATGACCTAGGACTGCTCACCTAGAACAGATTGCTGGTTCATGTTTCCCATAGGTTTTGTAGCAGAAAGTTAATAGAAAGATGTATCTCTGAACAAAAATATCTGAATAAAATATTTTAAGATAAGTGTCATGGGAAGGTGCTAGACAGAGAATAGCTTGTTTCAAACTACTGTAATTTTCCTTGTCTGTGGCATGTCTTGGTAATCATTAGCACTAATATTTCTAAATTTATCACTTCTTTTTTTTTCCCCTTCTATTGTCTAGCCAACTTCCAAAGACCAGGTACTGGCCATGCTTGAGAAAGCCAAAGCCAACATGCGAGCCAAACCAGCTCCTCCTGCTAAAGCCTCTTCCAGAGCAGTAGGGGGAGGACCTCCAGCCAAATTCCAGCCTGCATCAGGTAACCTCTCATATGTTCTGGGATGTGACTGAGGAAAGGGTGGGTTATGAAGCCTTTTGAAATGTTGGACAAAGAAACACTTAGCAGGAGGAGAGGAATTCAGCATGGTTAGGGTTACAAATAGCTGTGCAATCTAATGAGTTCTGTCTATAGTTCTGGTCTTACTTGTAGTTGAGTCAACTTTCAATGTAGGAGTAGAGTTGTTTTTTTCCCTTTCCCCACAACCATCTGTCAGTTGCTCTTTGAAAATAACTACTTGATACTGAAGCTAAATGGCATGGACTTAGATGGGTTTTTTAATACTCATCTGATTTTAACATAACTTTCTAATGAAAAATTTTCACATTTATTTTTATCTGGACTCTTTCCTCAATATTGCTGCCTGCTCAAACTGGGTGCAACTACAGCTCTAGATGTTGGCCTGCATGCTATACATGTGTGCATTTTAAAAATCTTTTGATAATGCAAATTTGCTAAGATCATGATCTTAATATGAAAGCTTTGTGGGCTAGCATAGACTTCACAGAACTTCTTTTATGGGTCTAAAATCCTCAGACCTCTTTGTGTTTGGTGTAGTGTATCCATAAACAGGGAGGGTTTTTTTTTTCTGTCATAAGAATGGAAAGCTGCTGACCTAAAATGGGCTTGTTAGTAGTTTGAAATGGTCTATTGTTTCTCCAGCACTTGCTGAAGATTCAGGGTCCAATATCATGGATTCCAAGCCTGATCCCAAAAAAGCCAAAGCAGGAGGAGTCTCCTCTAAAGCTAAGGTATGTTAATTCCATTTCCTATAAAATCAGTTCTATGAAGTTAATAGCTGTAATTAGTTAATATATTATAGGTAGAAGAGTGGAGCCCTTTCTATAGAGACCCTTTTACTGAGAATCTTCATTTGTCTGACTTGTGGAATGACAAGTGTTCCCATTCACCTATTTGCTATTTTTGTCATTAGTTGTTAAATTCTTGAAGCTTTTATTGTCAAAAATGCAGTCTTGTGAGCAGCTCAATCTATGTTTTAAATCTTTTTGGCCTCCTTGATCTTGTACTGTTGAGAATTCAATCTTACCATGGCAGTTGCAATGTTATGCTCTGAACAGTAATTTTGAACCCATGCATCAAAAGGAATTCATTACTACTTTGCAGTGTGAAGGGTAAAATGTTCTCAATCACAGAGGCAAAAAGAAAAGGAAGATGCCTAAATGCATAATAATAATCTTAATTGATTATGTTTGCGTTTGTCATTAGGTTTTTCTGTTTTGTGTTACGGTAATTTTTTTGCTATTGGCTTTAAAGTTTGTCCTGTGTGTAACAACAAAAAAAGCCTAATTGTTCTTTTTGGCCTCCTTGATCTTGTACTGTTGAGAATTCAATCTTACCATGGCAGTTGCAATGTTATGCTCTGAACAGTAATTTTGAACCCATGCATCAAAAGGAATTCATTACTACTTTGCAGTGTGAAGGGTAAAATGTTCTCAATCACAGAGGCAAAAAGAAAAGGAAGATGCCTAAATGCATAATAATAATCTTAATTGATGATGTTTGAGTTTGTCATTAGGTTTTTCTGTTGTTTTGTGTTAACAGTAATTTTTTTGCTATTAGCTTTAAAGTTTGTCCTATGTGTAACAAAAAAAAAGGCCAAATTGTTCTGAGGTCCTGTTGCCTCTATTGTCTAAAGTGCCAAGAACGTTTGAGGTAGGTCCAGATTCATGGCAGGAATGAACAGAGCAAGCCTTGAAAGATGTTGTAGACTTGCTGAAGTCCTTTTATTCTTGTGTCATAACTCTGATGCTGGAGTTAGCACCTTTGCTGTGAACACATCAAAAGGTTTGGAGCAGTAACTCTTAGGAGCAAATAGCTTCCTAGCAACAAAGCCTTTTCTGTGGCTTATTTTCAGCAGTCAGCTGTTAATAGCAGTATGTCCAAGGGCAATACCAGCCTGTCCAAAGCTAATTCAAGCCTCAACAAAGGCAATACCAGTCTCACAAAGAACAAATCTTTGAAACAGGTACCACAGTGGGCTTTAGGGATGCGTGTGGGTGACTAGTGCACTGGTTGAGAGTGATGTGTCTCATTTCACAGAGTACTACTGCACACACTGTCACGGGTGTTGCTTCCACAGCAGCAGAGCACAGACTTTTAAAACTCTAATCAATGTTATTCTTCCAGCTTCTCTCGAGCTCTTGTACACATAGGCAGCATGAGGTTGGCTGGTATCTAATGCTTGCAATTGCTGGGACTGAAGCCTATATCTGTCTTGTGCTGCCTGTTAATACCTTGTTTTTTTCAGGGTGTGCAGGGGAAGAAAGTGCTAAGCAAGCCTAATTTAAAGGAAGATGATGATAAATCAGGTCCTATTTTTATCATAGTCCCAAATGGGAAAGAACAGAGGATGAAAGATGAGAAAGGTCTAAAGGTGAGAAAAATCTGAATGTATTCACAAGTTTTGAAGGAGTGTCATTTTAATGCATTCTTTTGGGTTTAAATTTAGAGATAAACATGTTATGGCATGAAATAGCTAGTCTGTCTATCCCTTGGATTATCTACTTCATCACAAAACTTTCACAGGCTGATATCTGCTTTTAATGTGGTGTTTCTCTTCTGATCTCCCAAGTTTTGTGCATTCATACACTCCAAAGCCAAAAACCTTGTAAGTTTTTATAACTTCCAAGAGATGATCTTCAGTTGTGAAGCATCATTGTTTACCTGGAAACATTTGACTAATTTTAGAGTTCTAGGAGAACTGTAAATGCTCTAATGTACTTATGTTGAACAGGCCTGCTTTACAAGCTTGCCTTTTGTAGGGAATTTCTGTTACTTAAAACATGTATTATTTTTAAATTGCTAGTAAATAGGCCTACCTATACCTTAACCACTTTAGCAATAATAATTAAGTCTATGACTTAAGGATAACCACTCCACATAGAGTAAATTTTTCATATAAGCCAAGATGAGCAAACACCACTGAATTTTTCCCTTTACTTGTTGATAATGAGAAGACTTTGAAAACAGATTGTAAGGCAGAACTAAAAGGGATGCAATGTGCAGATTCTTTCAGGAGGAAAAGGTTTTGCTTGCTTTGACTTCCAAATGCTGCCTTTTACAGGTGTTAAAGTGGAATTTCACAACTCCCCGTGATGAATATATCGAGCAGCTAAAAACCCAAATGTCCAGTTGTGTGGCCAAGTGGCTGCAGGATGAGATGTTTCATGCAGACTTTCAGCACCACAACAAAGCACTTGCTGTTATGATTGAGGTGAGTTTGGATCTGTGCTAGTAGGTGACATGTAGAATTATTCTCTGCTATGAAAGGTTCTGCTGGAATTCAAATTCCCTGAGGAGCCAGGGGCTGTTGTGTGAAGTTGAACTATAGAAATAATTTTCAGAGGAATGATGAATTTATTATTAATGCTGTTCCTTGGGAGAAGGGGAAATTTTCCTCACTGGAGACTTCTTTAAAACTTCAGAAAGCTGCATAAATCAAATACAAATACTTAAGATTTGAGGAATCATTTTGAGGAAGCCTAATGAATATATACTGTCTTATCATAGCTTTTCCTTATTCTCTGCTTGAACAAAGTGTTTCATTTTGCACAACCTCCTTGTTTTTTTCTTCTTCCCCTCTTCAAGCACTTGGAGAGTGAAAAAGATGGAGTTATCAGCTGCCTGGATCTGATCTTAAAATGGCTTACCCTGCGGTTCTTCGATACCAACACGAGCGTTCTGATGAAAGCACTTGAATATCTTAAACTGCTTTTCAATTTGCTGAGTCAGGAAGAATATCACCTTACTGAAAATGAAGCATCCTCTTTCATCCCCTATCTTGTCCTGAAGGTATGGTTCATTGCACAGAAACTGTCCTGATTTCTCATGCAGGAGTAGGGATGTGATTGTCCCCCCCGCACTCAACACCAGTGAAGCTGCACCTTGAATTCTGTGTTCAGTTTTGGGCCCCTCGCTACAAGAACAATATTGAGGTTCTGGAGCATGTCCAAAGAAAGGCAGCAAAGCTGGTGGAGGGTCTAGAGAACAAGTCTTAGGAGGAGTGGGTGAGGGAACTAGGCTTATTTAGCCTGGAGAAAAGGAGCCTGAGGGAAGACATCCTTGCTCTCTAGAAATACCTGAAAGTAGGTTGTCGCAAGGTGGGAGTCAGTCTGTTCTCCCAAATAACAAGTGAACAGGATGTGAGGAAACATCCTTGTTGCAACAGAGAAGGTTTAGATTGTATATTAGGAAAAAAATTTTCACCAAAGGGATTGTGAATCATTGGAGCAGGCTGCCCAGGGAAGTGGTTGAGTTACCATCCCTGGAGGGAATTAAAAGATGTGGAGATATGGTGCTGAGGGATATTGTTTAGTGGTGGACTTGGTAATAGGTTAACAGTGAGACTCTATGATCTTAAAGGTCTTTTCCTACTTAAACGTGTCAATGATTTTATATTGCATATTTGCCTTTAGAAGCCATTTACCAAAAAAGATTTTTGCATTGAGAATAATTCTGGCTTTTCTAACATTTAGACCAGTCAACAGTATCATGAGTGTATAAAATACCTTGTATTTCTTCCCCTCTTTCTTTGCCCTTTCCACTAGGTGGGAGAACCAAAGGATGTCATCCGCAGGGACGTACGTGCCATTCTGAACAGGATGTGTCTCATCTACCCAGCCAGCAAGATGTTCACTTTCATCATGGAGGGGACAAAATCCAAAAACTCAAAACAGCGTGCAGGTGGGACATGGCATGAGGAACTGGGCAGGTGCCAAGGACCTGACATTGCTTTGTTTTGCATCTTGAAAAACTCAGCAAAATAACTTCTGGTGGAATGTGAGAGCTGCCTATGTGTAGCCTTTTCTGCAAATGCTTCTAAGTGTTTAAAGGAACAGATTTTAAAGTAGTATCATCTTGGTTTTTATTTTTGGTGGGTTTTGTACCTTCCAAAGATGAGCTATCAGCACTGAGTATCCTTGAGTAGGCTTACTGTGTTAGTGAAACAGTCCTGGGAAGAACAGTGACAATATTATTGTCCAAGTGACTAAGGGAATCAGTTAATCCAACTAAGCCTTTGGAAAGAAATGTCTCTGTGCTGTACTTCTCTCAACTTTATTATGGAATTTTTGTGGTATGCTGTTTATAGTTCAATCAACTCCCTCATCACCTTAAATTTCTTAACCTGATAGAACCAGAAAGTTAAATTATATACACAATATGGCATTGCAAGATCACAACTCTCTGAACTACCTAAACATGATGTTAACTGTATCATTGTTCATATATGATAATGGGAAATATCTGAAGGTTATAGGGATGACTGGCAGGTTTTAGGTGTTATTTGTGTGAGGTAGTATGAACCTTTAGTTTACTGTTCATCCAATAAGTCATCTTAAGTGTTTCTGTCTTCAGCATAGTGATTGACACTTCTCCACTAAGAATGTTTAAGTTGTGCAGGCAACACAGAAATTAGGAGGGCTCTCTTCCCAGCAGCTTTAAACTTGACTATACATGCATCATTTTATTCTTTCAGAATGCCTGGAAGAACTTGGATGCCTGGTGGAATCCTATGGTATGAATGTATGCCAGCCAACTCCAGGAAAAGCCTTAAAAGAAGTGGCCACTCACATTGGTGACAGGGACAACACCGTGCGCAACGCTGCGCTCAACACCATTGTGACTGTCTACAACGTTCATGGGGACCAGGTCTTCAAGCTGATTGGAAATGTGAGTGTCATTGGA